GTGCCAAGTTTGAGTACTTGTTTCGCTGGCAGACATTACATTCTGAAATCATTTTAATAATGTCCCGCCGCATACCAACCCAATACACTTCCGTCGCCATCCGTTGGTACGTCTTTTGGKTACCTTCATGCCCCCCCGTCGCCCCGCAATGCATCTCCTGGAACAACCGTGGTATCCATCCCGAAGTGAGAGAAATAACCAATCTCCCCTTGTATCGCACCTGTCCATCCTCCACAGTATATCCTTCCAGCCCGTCCTCCCCGTTCGTAATGCGTGAGCGGAGGACGGAGGTGAACTATTTCCGGATCAGAACGGTTAGCATCCAGTAAATCTTCATTAGTACTAACCCGTGACATGGTCAAGCTACGCATCTCGATTCCCGTTCCCCGACGCGACAGTGCATCGGCAGCCCCGTTCTCGCTACCCGGTCGATATATAATCTCRAAATCGTATCCCGACAGCTTAGAGATCCACCTTTGATGTTCACCCGCGACTACCCKCTGCTCYAACAWATATTTCAGGCTCTTTTGGTCGGTGATAACCATAAAACGGCGGCCCAGTAAATACGGTCTCCATTTCTGCACGGCCATCACAATCGCCATTAGTTCCCTTTCGTAGACAGATTTAAGTTGCGCCCTCAGCCCTAAGACTTGGCTGAAATACGCGACTGGCTTACCGTCTTGCATCAACACTGCCCCTACTCCCTGCCCGGAAGCGTCCGTCTCTATCGTAAAAGTCTTCGAGAAATCGGGTAGAGCCAAAACGGGCACCTTAGTCATGATATTYTGCAAGTTTCGAAAAGCCTGGGTGGCTTTTTCGGTCCATTGGAAATTGTCCTTCTTCARCAGATCCGTTAAGTCCCGCGCAATTTTACTGTATCCCTTCACGAATTTYCGATAATACCCTGTTAGCCCCAGAAATCCRCGTAATTCTCGTATATTCTTCGGAATGGGCCACTCGGTCATGGCCGTGATCTTRGACGGGTCCGCCATCACCCCGTTGCTGGTAACAATATGGCCCAAATAGTCAACCTGGGTCTGCCCGAATACACATTTCTTGCGGTTACAATAAAGTTTCGCCTTCCGCAGGCAATCAAATACCGTAAGTAAATGTTTCCTGTGTTCGTTCATGTTTTTACTGTAGACTAGAATATCATCAAAGAAAACTAATACGAACCGTCTCAAATAAGGTCGGAAAAC